ATACCAACTGGATTAACTTCACTCGGTCATCTTCTAACTTTACTCAAACTTGCCCGTAGTGTCATAAGCACTTACTTTGCTTACCTATTGCCCAGCACCCTTGAACAACTACGGGATAATAAAGGAAAAGACAAGACTCACATCAAAAGAATATCATTATAACTATGATGATACTAATGATGATGATAATGATAAAAAAATAATAATAATAGTTATAACAATTATGTTAATATTGACAATAAAATAGTGATATTAGCATTAATAATGAGGTGATAAAGCCTGCAACTAGCAAACCACTCAGAAACAGTAAATGTTGCAGTCGTGCAGTGGTGGAACGTATTTTTCATTACAGATATTTTATTTTGAACTTTGTTGAAGGGCACTAACGTTTATGGTTCCACTTTTAATCGGCTTGTTTTGACACTGTAGTGATACTTGAATAACGATTTTGTCTATCAGAGAATTTGCTTTCGAGCATACATCATAGCTATAGAATTACAATACCTAATGTTTACCTTTTTTTTAGGCTAAATTCTTACGTAGCATTTCTTTTTAATGTGGCAAGTAGCTGATGCGCTGATAGTACAGTTTTTCCATATTTTAATTATTAATTTACATTCAAGATGCACGCCATCTTGGCTTCGAGTCGAATCTAGAATTTCTTAGCTTCGCATATTTAAATCACAAGTAAAATTATTATTACAATTTCTCACCATTCTTATATCCATGGGGAAAAACTAATAGAAAATATATATCTCTTTATGCCTCTTTTTTTCTTCAGCCGTCCGTAAGCTCAACCCGAGCATTTATCCTAAATATCTGTGTTCAGTTATATAAAGGGTGGATAACATTATCCAACGGATAGATTGCTATCCATCGATCTTTCTATAACGCATGTAATTCTGTGTTTCAAAGCGATTGTCTCGCCGTAAGAATCGGTATCTTAGAAAATTCTCTCACGTCGCCCAAAACGATGAAGGTAATCAACCAAGAAGAATTGCAAATAAATGAATAGATAAATAAAGATGGCAGTGTTCCATCAAGTATAACGACAAGACTCATTTTTCGTAATTTTGATGAGATAACCCGCAATAATGGTGGCGTATTCTAAGTTTAGTGCTGATCAAAAAAAGAAAAAAAAATTCGAATTTTCCCTATATATGTGCATATCTCTTGTTTTTATTAAAGGACTTTCACAGTCAAGAGTGTAGTTTTTTCCCCAATTAAACATACAGAATTGGAAGAAAACGATTAATATATACAACTGTATTTTGGGACGCTCCGAGAAATTTATAAACCCTTAAAAAATGGTTGTTGGCTCCATGTCTAGTAACATGATAATGATAAAGATATACGCACCGAGAAAGAACGCTGCAAGACGAAATAGGCTTGCCAAACCATCTAACATTTTGTTCATCATTGCAGTTCTCACTCGAACTGTGGTCTCTGTGGTTAGATGAGACTTGACTCAATTGATCCACTCACATTGCATCATTAGAATGAAACTATATTCACTCAAGAAGCGCGTGACTGATACCATATCTTTTAAGACACGCGCTAGTGTACTTCCGGTTATAACCTGCTCTTATTTTCATTCGTAGTGACCTGCGCATGCACTACGCTGAAATATTGATACAGCTAACGATCCATTGCGTTTCATTTATGTTAAGTAAAAAGGCCAATTATAAAAATTCGTTTTAGCAACCTGGCTCAAAATATTTCCGCGACGTTCATCCGTCCCAGCCTGGCATCCTCAAGATAACGACACGTGATAGCAGCTGCTAAAATCATTCATCTTTTGCCGCCTTTTTTTTTCTTATTTTCATACTTAGGCCTTACTGTTATTCAACCTTAATTTCAATTCATACGAAAGATTATGTTAGTTTTGGTAACATAGGTATACAATTGTTATCAGAAAAATGCTAATAAAAGGGATGTAAACAAACAAAACAAAACTACGGTTTTGATCTCCCCCTAAGGTAACAATCCAGATGTTTCCGACATAGCGTCAGACTTCAGTCTTTCAGTTAAATGACAAACTCCTATATAAATACGTGGCTCGTTCTGGGCAGTTCAACATCGAAAATGAACAAGAAAATAATAATAATAGTAATTACCAGTTTTTAACTCGTGAATTGCGCGCATGTGCAAGAGCGAGTTGTAGATATGATGTGGAGAATGGCACTCGCTCGCTCGCGCGCTCGATTGGTCGATTCCTGTAAACTTTTTTTCGATTTTAGGCTTTTGAGTGCATTTGATAGTTTTTGGCGAGCAATAAACAAACGAAATGGCGACCTTTGTTGCTAAGAGTAGCGGTGGGGTGAAAAAGAAGCCAATGATAATCTTAAAATAATTTTTTTTTCGTTTTAGTTTCAACAAGCGGCGCCAGCGACTGGCAGGCATGCAAGGATTCACACTGAAACAAACAAAACAACCTTCGTTTTTCATAAAATTGTAATTTACAAGTCTTGGACTTGAAAACAATCCGAAGATTCATTGAAAATATAAATTAATGCGAAGCGCTCGGAGATTACAGATGTTCAAAAGCTTTTTCTTTAATGGCGTGAGATTGAGGAAAAAATCAATCATTACGTTTCGTATCGTGTGTTTTTCCTGTGTGAAGCAACAAAATATGCCG